ATGACACATGGATTTGACATGAGGGGTTGACGCAGGGCTGGTTGACACGTTTTTTCTCTGGTGAGGAAACTGTGGACAAAGGATTCATTAGGACACACTGTGTTTGTCAACAATGACCGCCTTCCTGTTGCTCCGTTGCCTACGTAACCCCTGTTGATGACACAGTGGCCCCGTCCATCTGACACCGCCCGGGGACCCAGGGCGACGAGTCACTTCACACACACAATAACGGAGAAGTGTAATTGAATTTAAATTTGTACATGATAGTCATTGCATGTATATTGTGACACTCGACTCAGTTTCAATTTACTCAATAATAGAAATACTGTGGCAGCTCACCGTTCTGTGACTAGATATGTAAGTTTCAGATCAGTTTCTTTATTTCCAAGAGCCATCCGACTCATAGGTTGAATATCAAACAATTACATCATATAGTAAATGTACAAGATAGTTTTTTATACAAATTTAAATTGCTCAAGTGGAGAGCGAGCTTACAAAGTACACAAGTAGTTTTCCATATCAGGCATTAATTTAAGTGCGTTTTTAGTCTCGTAACACAATATAAATACTTTCCTAGATTGCATAATTCTTTTACATTAATAGTACTCAATAATTTCGTTAACTTAAAAACATTAGGACTTCTATGATAGAATCGCTTAATATGTTTGCATCTCAGGTCTTGATATAATGGACATTTTAGGATGAAGTGAAATTCATCTTCTATATCACCAGAAGCACAGGGAGTACATGATCTATTCTGTCGAACAACATTGTTCCGTCTATACCTACTTCAACATTTAAATTATGAGACGGCAATCTAAAACTTGTAACAATGCGTTTGTGCTTGGGTTCTATAGATTTACATAAGTAAAATTGAAGACAAACATTATCAACAAGGTGCTGGTAGAAATAACCTTTAGATGACCTTGATAAATTTGCTATAATCTTCCGTCTTTAATTATCTAAAAGTCTTTGTTCTATAGGCCTAATCTTAAAAGCAATATTAACAGGTAAATTGTTTTCGAACATATATTCCAAACCAATACTAGACAACTCATGCTTAATATTAACTATCCAGTCATCATTTACATTAACACATTCATTATAACATGATTTTAATATACAATTGTCACTCTGTTTCATATTAAGTCAGTATCTAAAAATCCTCAATTTTCTTTGTATTATTTGAGGAAATCTACCTAGCTCACAATAAACCAAATCACTGCAAGTGTTTTTCCGAACTCCTAACAACATTTTACAAAAATTGAGATGTACTTTTTCTACATCGGAGTGATTTGTGAAAACCCCAGATCTCGGAAGCATGACACAAAATACTATTCACGTACGAGTCAAAAACAGAGCATCGGGTTACAACATTTAAACAATGATTACGTAATGTTGACATTAAGGAAAACAGAGCTTTTCGTCCTTGATCTGCAACATGTTTTTGTGTTTACAAAATTTACCATTGTAGTTGAAAAGCATGCCTAGATATTTAAATTCATCTACTATCTCTAATTGTTGATCGTTATAACACAACATTTCATTATGTTTAAGTTTCCCGCCATTTCTAAAAACAACTGTTTTAGATTTGTCAGTATAGACTTCTAAGTTCCAATCCTTTGTATAATTATATACATGTAAACAATTCAGCATTGATTGCAATCCTTCAGGTGTTTCGGACATCAAAACCATATTGTCGGCGTACATAAGTAGAAAAATATTAATCAGTTACAGTTCAAGGCTTGGACAATTATTGTTTATAAAATTAATTTCAAAATCATTTACGTACAAAGAAAATAAAAGTGGAGACAGAGCTTCTCCCTGTAAAAGACCGGAATTATTACAGAAGTGCTCACTAAACACTCCATTAAACTTAACACATGACTAACATTACGATATAAAGAAGTCAATATTTGTAGAGGTTTAACTCGGATTCCAACATTTTGATTTACATCAGTATTAACATCTGTAAACAGACTTTTAAAATGTGTGAAAAAATGTTCATTTGTTAAACTTGTCGAAAAGCTGTTCATATTTCTGAATTATTTTTTCGGATTTGACTTTTTAAGTAAATGTAACACATCCCCTTCGTGACGTTTATACTGTCGTTTTATGTGTTGCTGTGCCTTGTAGCCATTCCCGAAGGGACGGACCTGGTCTACCACACTCGGAACTTCTCGGCCGATACGGTCATCTACGTTGGAAGGAACTGGAATCGGGGCGAGGTGTTCCGAATGGGTCCACCAGTCAACCAATCGGCACTACTCCGTCAATAAAGCGTTTCTGTATCTCTGCACCAATATTGTCCTGTCATGGCACCGAACGTATTTCATCATTAATTTTCAGGGTTTAGACTAAAGATCTAGATGTAGTGCTTAAGGAATCTCTGAGTTTGTAATTACAAAATAAATTATTTACAGAGGTGCAATTTATAAGACTCAAAAAAAAACCGAGGTGGAGGTCGGTTTACCAGACATGTCAAATACAGATTACTTTCAGTTAGACATTATAGAAAGATGTTGAATATTTTGTAACAAAGATTTGGTGTTTGGTTGAGATTGAAGGGTTTATATCAAAGACTTGGAATTGGAAGATAAGGAATAATACTTGATAGTTAGTAACAAGGGTTGGTAAAATTGTAATGTAGCAATATATAACAACACGACCAAGCAGAGATGAGAAGGCGATGGTCAGACAGACAGGAGATGGTCAGAAACAATGTACATAGGTAGAAAGGTTTGTGATAACTGAAATGGGAACTGCAAGGACGGAAGTTTGGCAAAATTACATCGTGCTTGGTAAAAGTAAAAAGTTGACAACAAGACATGGGTTGAGGTGGGAGGTTGGGAAAAAAGACATGGAACAAACGATCTTCACTTAGATTCAAAATAACTTTTGCGAAAGCATGACTTGCAAAGGTCCTGCTCCATTTTGAATGCATAATATATCCCATAATGTATCCCATAAATATCCCATAATATATCCCATAAATATCCCATAATACATCCCTTGTGCGGGCTATCAATCGAACATGCTTGGCGCGCTAAATTCAAGTTCTGTATATGTTCAACTTCATCTTTTTACACATTTGAAAAACAAACAAAAATATTGTGGAATGTCCACACATTGCCACTAGCGGAGGCAACACGGGCCAACACTGATATTAAAATAATGATGTTGCATTGTTAATGGTAATAAATAAAGTGTTTCTTCAATAAATTGAACATTTTTGTCCTTCGCATGTGCCAGTGATTACATTACAATGCATAAACATTGACAGATAACACAGACAGACCCGGTCGTGTCATTATTTACTAGCACTGATCTGGACATGGTACGATGGCGACATGCATTAGGCCAATATCTAACGTCATGGAGTATGTAAAATCGTGGCTTTCCGTGACACGAGTCAAATATATTATGCATCAAGTGTGTAATACCCGTATACACCCAGAACAGTGGAGTACCCCAAGGTATGTTGTGTATGACCCAGAATGGACGCTAAGTTATTTGCCGGCATGTGTTACATGTGACCCTTGACCTCCATCAAAGCCTCGACTGGACCTGGTGGAGACTGGGACGTGTCTACGTATATAATTGTCACACCTCCTGGACGCCACAGCCTTCTTCAGCACATATTACTTCTGCTATTGTAAAAAAATGTACATTGGTTGTTCCCATTAGTTTCCACATTTATCATTTCAATCGAAATATATACAGTTTTCTAAGAGCGTGTATAAATTAAACATCTTAGCATTTATTAAGATAATTAACTATCAGTATTACAATGTATTTACATGATTTGGTCGAGTTAGCCACCACAGGAATAGACATCATATACGTAATGTTATACGTCGCTGACCAATTCTTGTAAACCAGTTTGATTGTGGTCGATTCATCCGAGGTCACTGTAGATGATTTCAAACACTGGTGGCGTATTTGCGGAAGTAACTATCACGCCTCTATTTCAAAAGAGTTATTATCTTTGTTTGAAGTTACGGTTGTATCAGTATAATACTAATTAAAATTAAAATTGTTGTTTCAGTAGACTTGACCGAATTGGTTCGCGGTCTATTGTCACACAAACGGTGTTCCATTCAGTTATATTAATGGTGTTTTCACTGTCCTTGCTGTTTGTAGATAATCTAATGGAATGTGATGTTAATGTTAAGTGATCGGATTTATCCAAATACGTCGATCCCCAGTACGCCAATACAGTTCTCACCAAATCTAGTGTTACTGGATTATGTCCCTTAATCGCCCGAGGAAAGTTGTTTTCTTCCCTATCACAATTTCTGTAATGGGCTCTTGTTTAATCTCCGACCAGAAGTGGGCACAGGTGTGAGGTCTGGATACACCCCTCCCCTGGCCGAGACATGTTTGATCTAGATTACAGGTATCAATGGGTCTGTATTCCACGGCGTAATCATTGCCAGTGTGAGGCGGGAATTAGCCTACTAGCTAATTATGCTCATGAATGGAAAAGTAAATGAATTCAACACCTACCCGTGTAACGGAATCCGGCCGGTAAGTTAATTACGCAACGTAAACCCCTATGGTGACACCTGGGAAGGGTAAGCGGACGTGAAGAAACACCTCCAGGCTTAACCTTTCTAATGATCAATTTATCGATTTCCCATCGTTATCGACAGGTATCTGAGGGACGAGATCCGCTGGAGTGGCTATATCGATGTCTACAGCAGTTTAAACATGTATCCACTCGAGGAGGTGCTAATATTTGTTTACCTGGACACATTTATCACCCAAATACTTACCTTGGTGTGAAAACCATTGAAATAAATGTAACTTTATCATTACGAATAAACAGAAGCTATACAAGGAAATGTGTAAGACAATCACCTGACAGCTGTATACAGGGTACAGTATGGGACAATTCCCTGACAGTTCTACAGGAGAAAGTATGGGACAATTCCCTGACAGCTGTATACAGGGGACAGTATGGGACAATTCCCTGATAGCTGTATACAGGGGAAAGTATGGGACAATTCCCTGACAGTTCTACAGGAGAAAGTATGGTACAATTCCCTGTAAGATCTACAGGAGAAAGTATAGGACAATTCCCTGACAGTTCTTCAGGAGAGAGTAAGGGACATTTCCCTGACAGTTCTACAGGAGAAAGTATGGGACAATTCCCTGACAGTTCTACAGAAGAACGTATGGGACAATTCCCTGACAGTTCTACAGGAGAAAGTATGGGACAATTCCCTGACAGTTCTACAGGAGAGAGTGTGAGACATTTTTCTGACAGTTCTACAGGAGAAAGTATGGGACAATTCCCTGACAGTTCTACAGGAGAGAGTATGAGACAATTCCCTGACAGTTCTACAGCAGAAAGAATGAGACAATTCCCTGACAGTTCTACAGGAGAAAGTATGAGACAATTCTCTGACAGGTCTACAGGAGAAAGTATGAGACCATTCCCTGACAGTTCTATAGGAGAAAGTATGGGACAATTCACTGACAGTTCTATAAGAGAGAGTATGAGACAATCCCTGACAGTTCTACAGGAGAAAGCATGGGACAATTCCCTGACAGTTCTACAAGAGAGAGTATGGGACAATTCCCTGACAGTTCTACAGGAGAAAGTATGAGACAATTCCCCGTCAAAACTATATAAAGTAGAATATTTAGGACGATTCATTGACAACTATATACTGTAGAATATAAATATATTAGACAATTTTCTGACAATTCTATACAGTAAAATATTTAAGACGATTCCTTGACAACTATAAACTGTAAAATATATAAGACAATCCCCTGACAATTCTATACAGTAAAATATTTAAGACGATTCCTTGACAATTCTATACAGTAAAATATTTAAGACGATTCCTTGACAACTATAAACTGTAAAATATATAAGACGATTCCTTGACAACTATAAACTGTAAAATATATAAGACGATTCCTTGGCAACTATAAACTGTAAAATATATAAGACGATTCCTTGGCAACTATAAACTGTAAAATATATAAGACGATTCCTTGACAACTATAATCTGTAAAATATATAAGACAATCCCCTGACAATTCTATACAGTAGAATATATAACACAATTCCCTGACAATACCATATACTGTAGAATATATAAGACAATTCCCTGACAATACTATACACTGTGAAATATATAAGACTATTCCCCGACAACTATATACTGTAAAATATATAAGACAGTTCCCTGACAATAATATATACAGTAGAATATATAAGACAATTCCCCGACATATATACTGTAAAATATATAAGACATTCCCTGACAATACTAAATGCTGTAAACTATATAACACAATTCCCCGACAACTATACACTGTAGAATATATAAGACAATTTCCTGAGAGCTACATGTATATACAGTAGAATATATAAGACAATTCTCCGACAATACTATATACAGTAGAATATATAACACAATTCCCTGACAATACCATATACTGTATAATATATAAGACAATTCCCTGACAATACTATACACTGTAGAATATATAAGACAATTTCCTGAGAGCTACATGTATATACAGTAGAATATATAAGACAATTCTCCGACAATACTATATACTGTAGAGTATATAAGACAATTCCTTGACAATACTATATACTGTAGAATATATAAGACAATTCCCTGACAATACTATATACTGTAGAATATATAGGACAATTCCCTGACAATACTATATACTGTATAATATATAAGACAATTCCCTGACAATACTATAAACTGTAGAATATATAAGACAATTCCCTGACAATACTATATACTGTAGAATATATAAAACAATTTCGTGACAATACTATATACTGTAGATTATATAAGACAACTCCCCGACAATACTATATACTGTAGAATATATAAGACAATTCCCTGACAATACTATACACTGTAGAATACATGTATATTAGATAATTCCCCGACAATACTTTACACTGTAGAATACATGTATATTAGACAGTTCCCCGACAATACTATACACTGTAGAATACATGTATATTAGACAATTCCCCGACAATACTATACACTGTAGAATACATGTATATTAGATAATTCCCTGACAATGCTATATACTGTAGATTATATAAGACATTCCCTGACAATACTATATACTGTAGATTATATAAGATAATTCCCTGACAATACTTTATACAATAGATTATATAAGATAATTTCCTGACAATACTATATACTGTAGATTATATAAGACATTCCCTGACAAAACTATATACTGTAGATTATATAAGATAATTCCTTGACAATACTATATACTGTAGAATATATAAGACAATTCCGTGACAATACTATATACTGTAGAATATATAAGACAATTCCCTGACAATACTATATACTGTAAAATATATAAGAAAATTCCCTGACAATACTATATACTGTAGATTATATAAGACAATTCCCTGACAATACTATATACAATAGAATGTATAAGACAGGTCCCTGACAATACTATATACTGTAAAATATATAAGACAATTCCCCGACAACTCTGTCCCTGCTCGCTTTTACGTTCCACTAACTCTGTACGTTTCGTTTCTTTTATAATGTAAAGGACATGCTTTGTCATCATACACCCACATATGGATATAAATTTACAATTTTCTGAATGTAAGATGAATATGTGATATACATTCCCCGTCACTAAATTGAAATTCCCAAGGGCGTCCCCGCGCTGCCATGACAGTCACAAAGCGGAGGACTCTGCATAGTGCTCTCCCTGCCTGCCCCCAATCTTTTACTACACACCAAATTTTCCCCATCGCTGCCCCCTTTATAGGTCTACTGATGTATCTGTCAACAAGAAGCTCACCCTACCCCAAACCAAACCTCCCCAAAACCAAACCTCCCCATGGATGCAATGTACCTCTTCTTCAAATATATATAAAGGCCATTTTTCAATTAATGTTGGACATTTAATTAGCATACCATAACATCACGAGACAATAATTTAATTGTGGATAATTTACCCTGTCATGTTTGTTTATTGTTCAGATCCATATTGATTTCAGAAATTGAATCATGCTTTGTATTTGTGTTTGTGTAATACGCTAAACTTGTAAACACCCCATAAACAGTATTTGATTACTATACCTCAATCGAATGAATACAATTTAGTAAAAAAAAAACCACCGAAATAACTGGAGATATATTTCCACATTAAATAAAACTGAAATTAGAAAAAATATGAAATCTCCATTGAGACTGCACGAAGCATGTAATACGGACATTTCAGCACTTGTGTTGTAATGAATACTGCGTGATTCTGCCAAAACGTCATAACCGAGNGGGGGTCAGTAGTGTGATCCACACACACTGCCTTGTAGAGTAGGTAGCGGGGTAAGTGACCCCACATTTTTGCCGATATTCGATATGGATCTTGCGGTATTGATTCAGGTGGCTTATAAGTCTGCACTTTGTCACACGGGAGATACACGTGACAGGAGTACTACAGACAGCAGGTAATATGTATTTTATTATTTTTAGACGGGAGAAAAAGAAAAAAAATCAAACGAATAACTTACATTCTTGTATGAGAAGAATATGTAAACACATGAAGATATGTAATTACGCTATTATTAATGGGTATTACTATTGATGTAAATGAACAATGTCTACCTTGACACCATTGTTCTATATCTATAAAGAAATAACTGTTCGTTTAGAATGATTTTAATTGTAACACTGCTAATAATACTGTGAGCCTGGAGAGTGTGGGCCGGGCATAGCGGGTACACTGCCTGTGAGCGCAGCTTTGAGGTTGCGAACCCCTTTGATTGGCAGGGTGGGCGGGGCCAGATAACAAGAGAGGGTTTACGTTCACAGGTCTAGAAAGCGACCAAAGCTATATGGCGTATAATCCAATTCGTGGTCTAATTGCCCTGCGCAGTGCCGCTTGATAGAGTGTTTCATGACTTTCACATCCACGGTGTTGGGAATCTGACATGGAATCGTATGTAGCAGACCGGTCTTAGACGGTTACTATTGGTACAAGGTGAGAGGCCCTCCCCAGTCATCAGCTTTGTAGCCACGGAATATATACTCTGTCAGGGAGTGCAAAGTTAGCTCTACCAGCTTACACGGTATTTTACTAATTACATCAGTGTGAGTTATCAAACAAACTCGTGGAATCAACAGATATAGTATCGATAACGTGGATCGTATAATTGTGGATTTCTCGGACACGGAATCATGACTCTGGGTATCGCGGGATCCCTTCCGCACGTGGCGGGAGTATGAGAAGGTACCGACTGGTCAGTAGTCTGAAATTGGGATGTAACAGGGTAGCCCGTGTCGGGTACTGTGGACCACCACCTCTCAACATGTGTAACTGGGGGTAGCTTCCCTACAGCCATAGAGTAGTAATACCTTTACTTTATCGAAAAGTCGTATTTAACAGATATAGTTATGCTACCTCCAGAGAGCGATTGTGATTGGTAAATATCTATAAATTGTGATTGGTAAATATCTATATATTTATATATATGGAATCTAGTTTGGAATGAAAACCGAAAAGACTAAACTATCGTTAAAAATGTATAGATTAACTTTACTATTGAGTTTTCTAAGTTCCCATTTTATAATGGCCTCTCCCTCCTATTTGAACATGTTCCAACAACCTGCCAATACGGACCCCTGTTACGACGATCGCGGGGAACCCACCCGGTGTGTACCCGACTTCGTCAACGCGGCGTTCGCGAAGGAGGTTTACGCTTCAAGCACGTGCGGGGCCCCTGCAAGTCAGTACTGTAAGTCAACTCTTGGCAAAGACAATGGGATCATTCGGAACTGTTTTATATGTGATGCCAACCATCCAAAGAGGCAGCACCCTGCGTCCTATCTAACTGATCTGAATAATCCCAACAATGTAACGTGCTGGATGTCTGATACGTATGTCCAGTATCCTCAAAATGTCACCCTCAAATTATCTTTAAACAAAAAATATGAAATGACATATATAAGTTTACAGTTTTGTTCAGCAAGGCCTGCATCGATGGCCATTCATAAAAGTATGGATTACGGCAGTACGTGGGTACCATTCCAATATTATTCAAACGCATGTAAAAAGATGTATTCCAAATCTCCTCGAGCTGTCATAACCAAGGCTAATGAACAGGACGCCCTGTGTACAGAAGCATACAGTAATATCGAACCCCTGTCCGGGGCCAGAGTAGCCTTCAGCACCCTGGAGGGTCGACCATCCGCCTATGATTTCGACAACAGCCCTATCCTACAAGACTGGGTGACAGCCACTGACATCATGGTCGTCTTCAGTAAACTTAATACATTCGGGGATGAGAGTTCGAATGACGAGGCTGCGAGGAAGAGCTACTATTACGCCCTGTCAGACTTCGCGGTCGGAGGAAGGTGTAAGTGCAACGGACATGCCTCCAAATGCATCGAAAACCGAGAGGGTCGTCTAGAGTGTGATTGTAAGCACAACACGGCAGGATACGACTGCGAAAAATGTAAGGCGTTCCACTCCGACCGTCCGTGGGCTCGGGCCAACAACAAGGATGCTAACGAATGTGTGGGTAAGTGTACATTTATTATATGTGTAACATTCTTCTTCTTCATCGTCAGATGATTTTACATTTAAACATACATGTTTAGATCAAAGGTAAAATCATTGATAATAAAATTAGATCAAAATCTTAAATATCATTTATTTAATCCTATATTGAACAATATAAAATAGGTCCTGTTGTATTAATTCCGATGTGAATATGTTTCAAAGTTTTTTAAAGCTAACAAATGAAATAAAAATATCTATACGTAAAACTATTTAAGTTAATATGTGGTGTTCTTAAAAATACTTCGCATGGCTCAGGTTAGGATAGAAATTAGACATTTTGTGGAGAAGACTGAAAAATAGAAATATCTTAATAACTTCACAGTTGTAACAAACTTTAAAATAGCTCGTAATGTTTTTGGTCCTATTTAAATATTTGAGAATTGAAGAGAACAGATCTTCTTTGATTTGGTCCAATATTTTGTTTGATTAGGCGGTGATTATTTACACTGTAGTAGTTAAAATTAAATTCTACCGAACAAAAGATTACCAAATGTAGGAATGGGCATTTTTCTTCGGAATGACACATCATTTCGGAAAATCGTGCAAATAGTGCCCCCGGCACGTGTCGTTCTGACCCGATGGGGCGTCCAAATAGCAGTTCCACTCGTCCAAAGGAACCCCTGCACTGAACCGATTTAGATTTTAATGAAAATAGATACGGATTTTTTACATGTAACATTTTGTGTTGATTCAAATTTAGTGGCCCCATCTTCCGTCGTAATCTTCTCAGTAGAGGTTTAAGTACTTTAACTACAGGAAGGGACAAAAAATTCAGTAAAATGAGTGTTTGATAAATATCGTTTTGAGATTAGCGGTGAGTAAAAATGTGTCGGATGCATTGTAAAATAAATAACCTTATCGTCGTGTGGTTTTTGACGTGTTACTTGTATTTTGTGTTTTGTCCTGATGACCGCCTGCTAGGTACACTTGTTAAAATGTCCCGATGGATTTTTAATGTCAACTTACATAAACGAAAGGGTAAGATATTTTCTTAATTCAGCAAAATATTTCCTTTAAATTTCATCTAAATTTCATATCACACAGTCCTATACATAGTTTTAAGATATTTATTTCCTGGTGATAATGAATAAATAAATGTTGGATATTTCAGTTTTAAGATATATGTCATTTATGATTTTACGTCCGAACCTGAGACTTTGGCTGATGATATCACGAAGCCGTCAATTCTCATCCTCGTTCGTCGGGCAGAGTGGAATTTTTACACACACTATCATACATTTCTCAAACCAATTTAGATTTATTTATTACAGTTTTAGAAAAAATATATACATGGTAGGCGACCTTTTGAATTTTCATTACTCTCTAGATGTCTATAAAAAAAGCGGCGTTTTGGGGTGTTTTGTATATTTTAAAATAGACAATACGATACTGGTCTATAGAATGACACATGTTTGTGCACTATTAACGGAGTATTGAGAAGTAGTTAGTGTGTACATGATTCTGTGTGTACTGTTACGCTGATAAATGTGCCACGAACGTTAACTTCGGTCAGTGATGAAGGTTTCCAATTAACTGTAAGAATTTCCGTTGCCTGACTGACAGCCATTTGAGCGTTTCGCTGACTCACAGAGTCTGATACCCGACCGTGTCCCCGATACCTAACAATAGACAGTACACTTCCCAAATACCTCTACAGACCATCACGCTAATCAGTATTAAATTTAAAAAAATGTATTGTTTTCACCAACGTTAAACATATTACTACAAAGAAAAGAAGTTGAGCAGATCACAATTAAAAGATATGTAATTTGTTTGAATTTTAATATTGTACATCCTAACAAATTCATGATTAAGCAGTTATTTTAATTGTCATTAATCCCGTCTGCCAACTACATCGGGTCATTTTGTTTACACGGTATTGTTTATTAAAATGTCATACGATGGAACACGACTTAGTAGGAGTAATCCGCCATTGTTCCCTCTCTTAAAGCAGTGTCCCCTAACAGGTTTTCACACCTAATGTGTTTCCGGTAATAGGGTTAGCTCCCAGGTGTCAGCGCTGTCTGTAATCCCAGATTAGGCTGGACTACGACATTAGCAGATCTATGTACCTGTTGGAATGGTAATGACCTGCCGACACTGAGCTAAGTCCGTCATCACATTCCGTACCCACACACCTCTACTTGTAAAACGCCTCTCATTCAATTGTCAACACACACGTTTTCTTCAAATAGTTCAAATAAAAAAATCTTTCTTCAGATTTATCTCACAGAAAGGAATTATTGAATATTTCTCGGGAAGTCAAACGTTATTTACTTCTAAGGAAAGCTACTGACAAATTCTCACTCCTATATATACATTTTTTATTGTGTGACGATATATTGTGACGGCTTATCAGAATTAAAATCAGAGATGACATGATTTCAGCGTCGTCCAACACACTTGAGGTGGATGGGACGCTGACAGATAGAAACACAGATATGTAATGAATAGGTGACAAAGGAGCAGGTCCTTTGAAGTTAATTGTATGACTATGATAGTCATATTTCAGCAACCAATAAATCTTTTAAATTTCCATTTTAATATATTAAATATAAACTAGGAATAAAATTTGAATATGATTTCCCATGATTAGGGTCCGGTGTAAGAGCGAGTGCGTCTATAGAATGACAGTGCTGTACATGAGAGTAACAATGATCACAGTTTAATTTATTTTCAAGCTTTGTCCAAGTTATTTTCGTTATGTATTTTATTCTGGAAATATATGTCATAATTACATTCGCATAACTTATAATAATTGATTTATACCATTTAAAATATTTTCTTTGATATAAATAGCCTTTGTATCTCACTTTCTGTAATATTTGTAAAGTTGCCATAATGTGAATATGATATGACTATCGGCCAATCCTGTGATGTTAAACCTGGGAGAAAAGCTCAGACATCTCTGCAGGTGTAGGCGTTCAAAATGTATCGTTATTCGTGGGTTTTGAAGAGGCAATCAACACGGAAAGTGAACATCTGTCCGTGATTACCCGGGGTAACACGACAGCGCACCTCCGTGAATCTGTCTGCGAGAACCCTCTGTAACACGGCTACGCCTCTTCCGTGAATATATACCTGCGATACCCTGGGGTAACACGGCAGTCAGTGGCCCCTCCGTGAATATCTGTCTGTGATAACCCGAGGTAACATGACAGTGTCCCTTCCGTAAATAACTTTTCGTGATGACCCAGGCTAACACGACAGCGCTCCCTCCGTGAATATTTATACATGATAACCCATCCGAACACGACAGTGCCCTCCCCCCCCCCCTGAATATTTTCCCGTGATAACCCAGGCTAACACGACAGCGCCCCCTCCGTGACTATTTATCCGTGATAACTCATGTTAACACGACAGCGCCCCCTCCGTGAATATTTATCCGTGATAACCCATGTTAACACGACAGCGCGCCCTTCGTGAACGTCTATCCTTGATAACCCAGGCTTACACGACAGCGCTCCCTCCGTGAACATCTATCCTTGATAACACAGGCTTACAAGACAGCGCCCCTTCCTTGAATGTTTACCCGTGATATCCCAGGCTAACACGTAAGCGCCCCTTCCTTGAATGTTTATCCCTGATAACCCAGGCTAACACGACAGCGCCCCCTCCGTGAATATTTATCCGTGATAACCCATGCTAACACGACAGCGCCCCCTCCGTGAATATTTATCCCTGATAACCCATGTTAACACGACAGCGCCCCCTCCGTGAACATGTAACCTTGATAACCCAGGCTAACACGACAGCGCCCCTTCCCTTGAATGTTTATCCGTGATAACCCAGGCTTACACGACAGCTCTCCCTCCGTGAACATCTATCCTTGATAACCCAGGCTAACACGACAGCGCCCCTTCCCTTGAATGTTTATCCGTGATAACCCAGGCTAACACGACAGCGCCCCCGCCGTGGTACCTTCCCGTGCCACCATCTTGTACTTGTGAGCACCACCTCTTGATTCATTCTTGTCCTGATATCGGATAAGAAAGTTTGTATTTACAGTTGCAATATGTTATTACAGTGTGAGTAACATGCTTTGATGCCAAACAAATGAAAAGCTCTTTTCGATGTGAAGTTGGTTTATAATAATAGTTTAAGATTTTCTCGCCACCTGTAAAAACTATACTTAAAAATGTAATGACATTGAAGATGAGAACACGAGTGTCTGATCTTGGCATCCCTTAATTGTCACAAGTTGAAAATAACATAAGGTAACAGCTCTCTATCAACTGATGAAGGGTAGTCGAGCCATATTACGATTGTAGCGCCATCAAATCACATAATATCTACAGAGCGGTTCACCCAGTGTATTAAAATAATGAATGAGAAAAGGCGATGTTTAACAGTGTATTGAAATCAATGTTTTCAATCACTTATATTAATTTATAAGTGAAATAACCGATTTTTTTTAAATCACATATATTAATAGGCAATGAAACCAATGTATTAAATCACTTATATTAAAGGGCAATGCAACTAATGTATTAAACAACTTATATTGATAGTGCGATGCAACTAATGTATTAAACAACTTATATTGATAGTGCGATGCAACCAATGTATTAAATCACTTATATTGATAGTGCGATGTAACCAATGTATTAAATCACTTACATGTATATTGATAGTGCGATGCAACCAATGTATTAAATCACTTACATGTATATTGATAGTGCGATGCAACCAAGCTTTTCCCTCACTTCTGTTAATCAGTGCTGTACTAATTTTCTTATAAATCACCCTTTACCAGGTTAATTCATCGTGTTTTAGTAAAAAGGAAATAATCCCATCAACACCGTGTTTTAATATGAGTTTTTCTAGCAATGATAACACACATAAAACTTTGAATGAATTGTTACTCATATTTAATTGATCATGTTTAGGTTTAATATTTCAGTCGTGTAGTATTTCACCAAAGGAACGTTCGGTCTCTATTTCGTGTAACAGATGGTC